ATGCGGCATAGTCATACTGTAGATGGTAGGGCAAATCTTTAGATTACAACGGTCCGAGTTACTTAGTGGTGCACGCTTTTGAAGGGGAAGCAGCGAATTTTCTTAGTGTAAGCAACATAAAGCTGCGCATCTTGTATGGTCGGGAGAGTTATTAAGTTTGCCAGATCGAGTGACTTGCAGAACAATGTGGCACCTTTATTAAAGTCAACGGCGACAATGCGGGCAGAGCATACCAGTTTCGGCAGCAATACTAAAAAAGTTGTTCAACTAAGACCTTCAGTTCGGACGATGATGTTTCAGAGGCAATGTAGAAGTTTCTGATACCAACGGATTGAAAGCCATTGAGAGATTTAGGCCGCCATTCAAGTAAATGACAGCTAATAGGAGTTGTAGTGTGCGTGAATAGTTGATCTACTGAGTTGCACCAGAGTTGGTTAACCTACGTGATGACGCCGCCACACGCTTCCTTGGATTCCCTGGGCCTAATTGGACCTAATTTCACGTTATCCACTGATGTTTATAACTCCATCTTCACTAGCATGGTGCAACCGTCTTCCTTGTAACGTAATAATGGGTATGTTTATATATACATTTCGTTGTATAAGAGCTGAGCGGGAGTGATTTTTCCCAGCAATGAACGCACATTGCTGGAGAGGAGATCCTCCCCACCCGTATGCGTTATTTGCATTTTCTTTCAAGGACATCGTCCGCAATCAATTTCCAACGTGCGCGATGTTTTCTCATTTGCCAGAATATTTTCACCCAATCTGTTTGAAAATGTTCCTGACTTTAGGACCGTAGTCGACAAAAGACTTTTTACTTGTTACACTTCGAAATGATTTCAAAAATTTAGCAATATAAGATAGAATTAGCACCTGGGATGTAGTTCATTTAAACGAAACTGGTAAGTAAAACAACAAAAGTTATAGGTCCGCAGTAAATGGCGTAAAAAAATGTTTCGAGAGTCAAATACAAAGGCCATTTTGAAGGCGCCGCCAAGATATCATTTAATCTGACGCGATGGTCAGACCTTCTAACTTTCGCGAGAACTCATACGAGTTTCGTGCGAACGTAAATGTTCTCCTTGTTAAAGGGTGCGACAAAACTACCAGATATTCGGCTGGTTCATGCGTCGGAGAATCGTTGAATCATGTTGGAGAGAAAGGGAATATCGGGTTTACTAATCTTCGGCAGCCCATGGACCCTAGGCGGCATCGTGGATCTCGAATACACGTTGTGCCACGTACCCCGTCTCAGGAAGTCCTTTACACTCCTCAGGTGATTTCCAACCTTTATTTCACTCTTGTTCACTCTAGGTATAACTAAACGCTTTCATATACACATAGAAGTCTATGAGAAAAACGCAATCGAGTACTGCTTTTCTTTTACCCGACGTCTGGTACACTGTCATTTTCCAATTATTCTACGACGTGCTCTTTCAGACGATTGCTATTGCTGCCTCTGTCACAGATACAGATACGCGGGAAACAGAAATTATTAAACATTGATGCACTTGGCACTTCGTTTCTCGCCTCCTTTAAGCATTGTTCGAGCACCGCCTTCACTACAAATCTTGAAATAGCAGCAGGCCCATTGGCAATCTAGGGGAACCCAGATCCGACGCACGCTAATGTGGGACCATCTCGAAGATACTACTAATCAGCTAACAACTGTATGCCACTGAACTAATCATTATAGACACGTGTCATATTTCCCCTATAGCAATTTACGTTTGTTAATACTGACATAACAACAGGAATCTACTTCATATCTTAATCGTTTAATCTGTTTAATTTCCTATTTTTCCAACCTTCGCCTTCCCCCGGAAATCGTTCCACTGTTGCGCAGAGATATTCCAATACAGCTGGTTAATTAGCGCCTTGATTCCATACAAATAACGCTGGTGTGTTGATCCTTCTATATTAGGAAACAACAATCCATTACTATACATGAAGTTAGTTGTTTTTACGATATTGTATAGTGCAAGTGTGTGCACGTAGCACTCTGAAGCATCAACTGTTCCACCCAACACGTTCAGCACCAGCAAGGACTGCACTGTTTAGATTAGACCCCCCGTACTTAGGTCGATAATGCTGGTGTCATGAGGAGCTCATTCACTCAACCACCCGGAAGCGAGAAAGGCTGCATAGCATGTCCTTCACGGGGCTGACGAGCCATGAGATACGCGTGACAGAGAGTGCAGTCTACGTAATGTGGTTGCAGAATTTTAGGTTGTGGTTACAGATCGCCGGGCAGATTGATTGGCAAAAAACCGTGCTTCGCATTGTCCTGAAATGAGGTGTTTGCGTGCGGTGGATCGTCGAAGTAGTTTCGAGGTATTTTTAGCTCTCGTAAATTTGGGGCTAGAGAGAAGATGCTGTTGCACCAGTAAAGGTGAGAAAGGACAATGGAGGGTAAATGAATAACATTGGAGTGGCTATGACTCGAAATGTAATCTTTATTATCATTTCGGCGAATTTGATGCATTGGCGCTTGACAACTCTACTTCCGATTACTATCCACAATACCGTTAACAGTACCTGAATGTTTATGCTGAATTCAAATTTCACCGTAAGTGTGTGTAGTCCGTTCCCACAAAACTTTGTATGTTGTCCACGGACTACCGATTGCGACGTCTGAGCATGACTAAGTCCTACACAGAAGCTGCAAAATGCTGTTTTTGGCCGCACAGAGTGTACATACGCTCACCAACCACTTCCCCAACCGTTGTATTAAGGATCACGAACCTGATTGTAATCCGACGTCGCGGGTTCGTACCTGCGTAGGGACCGATCGACCTTCACAGTATCCTCAACCCACATGGACCAGCGGTGGTTACGCGGTAGCAAAGCGTCGGTACTGTGTACCGGTGTACGGCTGATGCCACCACACTCGCCAGACTCATTTAAGAAATTTACTGGCTTGACCAGTAAACTGACATCTGTAGACAAAGAGAGACAGTGAGATTATGCTGACGCAGTCGGTATCATCAACTACTCTTCTACACTTCAAATCGTCTTTAAACAAGGAGCATAGCTACCGAAGGAGCCGAATTATTTTTGGTGTGGATAAGGAACGTGATGTACTCCAGTACTTTGCCGTAGTGTACATCAGTAGTGCAAGGACACGGTGGGTCAAATAGTCGTCCAGCTGCGTCGTCAACTTTCGCCCCATATGAAAGTTGCCGATCTACACAATTCCATTAAACCAACAGCCCGCAGATCTTACATTTATTCACGAGGGTTCTATTTTCACCTCGTGGAAGCTTTAAGAAACACAAAGTAGATCATGTCGATGGAACACCAGTTAAGCACTTTAAGCCATGCATGCCTCGCCACCATCAGATTGGGGATGCATGAGTGACATTTCATGAACCAATGACGTGCCGGTGTCTGTTATTTTGATTCCTGCAGCAGCAGCAGACCCTGCTTCACGAACTTTGTAGGCACATTGGCCGAAAGTTAGATCATACAAATTGAACGGTCTACGTCCACCTTAGTTGGGTCTTTGCTCTAAGGAGTCAGCCACATCACCGAGCTTTTTCAAGCACTCAATTATACACCTTTGGATAGTGGCATGCTGAACAGATCAGGCAAGCAGAACGTGATAATGGTCGATAGGGACTTGAGAGTCATCGGATGGGGCCAGTCAGAACCAACAAGTGTCGTGCCTTTAATGCTGGTGATTGGATTGAATACACGTTCCACACCGCAAATTACGCTGTCGAGTACGGCAGTGGCTTCACCCCTAGTTCTCGGTAGAGACTCTGGGTCATTTGAAACACAGAAGCGAACTGCGCACTAGTATTGAACGCACGCTCAATGATGAGTATTAGAGGTTAGCACGTCAGAGCCCCTTAGCACTGCTACGTAGGCTGAAGATTTCTGGGGTCACCCCGAATAAGCAAAGCTTTTCTTGTTGGGTGCCATTGCCGCAACGGCAAGCTATGCTTCGAATTGATGACGCTTCTGTGTTTTCGCGTTGCTACATAAGTTCAATTGTCTCTTGAGCTCATCATAGTCAGACGGAACGATTTTACCCCGTTGTGTGTGTCGTTATCCTACAAACCAACCAGACATCTTGCCAAACCAGTTTGGCTCCACTGATCCAGCTTTTCGATAATTAATTAATCCTAACAGATTAACAGACAGCATCCGAAGGATCCTGCGGCAGGGACCAGTTCACTCGGCTAGCTGCACTAGTGAGACCATCAAAATCCGTAGGATGGACCTAGTGGTGGCTAGTCAAGCAGGGGGAGCTCCTAGCTGGTCATCATCACTGAGTGGTCACTCGATACATAAACATCACAACCGTTGTTCTCAGCTAATCGGTAACAAGTCCAGGCACGACCGAGAGAACAGTCTTATGCGCGTCGACTGGTAGCTGTTATTGTGCCGCTTCAATATC